CTAAAAGTAAAGGATGTTTTAGTAGATATGATGATGTAGTGTGTTTTTTCTAGTTGCATTTAGTATAAACTTTAATTTAATGCTCTTATTCTAGTGATCCTGATTTTATGTGTGGCATACAGTTATACATCACTGTTTTGTAAGAATAATTCTGCCTGTTTGGGGAAAATGTTTTTAGACTAAATTATACAACAAATCTCTGCAGTGTTGTGTATATCTTTATTTACATGTTGTCAATTATTAACACCCAGTTAATAAATAGACTGATGCATGTCTCATGAACCTGAATCACACATCACGGTTCTGATTTATTTAGAACAACAAATCCAACAATTACTCTCAGTTCTCTGAATGATTCACTTTCTGAGTGAGTCTGATTCAAACTTAACAGCGGGTTCAAGGCTGAATCTTTTATGACTGACTCAAGAATCAGATCAGTAATTTTTCATGAATCGGACATCATGTAGTTCAAACACACTTGATGTGGAAAATGCTTATTGTGGTATAATGTAGTAAAGCAGAGATATTAAAAGATTAAAAATATAATTTATTGATTATGCATACTATATTCAGTCAATCAGATGAGCCAATCATTTCACCAAAATGTTGTATACTGAATTTAATTGTATACTGTTGTATACTGAATTTAATATCACTGTCTTAGTACAAACCTAGTAAAAAAATAACTGGTAGGCAGTGGAGGAAAGTCTTGTTTTGCCTTCTAGGTGGAAGGATATGACGTTACATGAAACCTGTGAATTGACTGGTAAATACACGTAATTTTTTTCTGATTGCCATATTTGGTCAGTTTAGAAATTTAAATTAACTTCTGATGTTATTTGACAGTTTTGAATCTGTCACTATTAATAAACCCATATTTTTAGTGATTTTAATTCCCTGACATCTTTCTGCTGTGTCACTGTAGCAGATGTTTTCGTAGCAGCAGCAACACAGGAGCACAATGGTATGTTCCTGCATTTTTTCTCTGCATTGTGATGTAACTGTTAAGTTTGAGTGAAAAATACAGATCCAGTTCACCCACCAACTGCTGCTTGAACACACATGCACGCATGCACGTATGTGTGTATCACTTTTAATCTTCTTCCAGGTGCCAGTCAAATGCTTGTATGTCATGTAAACATACACAGCTGTTTGAGGGCCTCCAAATCAAAGCTGAATTTACAGAGTGCATGTTCAGACATGCCCGATTACATTGCAGAGATATGAGGGATAAAAGAGTTGTCAGTCAGCACAGGAGGGATTGATGCATTCTGTGGTGTTTTTGATGAGACCTCTGAGGGATAGTCTTGGCAGCCTTCACTCAAGGCAGGCCAAAGATGAGCTGACTCCGGATACAGGAGACGCTCATCTGTGGATGACTGCTTCCTAGACTGTGGTCTCAAGTGCTGCTGACTCTTGAAATGTCTTTATGCTCTCAAAGAAAACAAATTGTCGGGATTCCGCATCCGCATGTGATCAAATTTTGGACTGACATATTGTAGAGTGGTAAATATGATGATTCTTAATATTAATATGTCCTTCATTAAAATAAGTACGTAATTTCTGAACCACCTGCGACACCTTATAGTAAAAAAAAAATTGTTTCCTCTGGATGCTCTCTTCTTCTTCTATTAGTTAGTTAAATAGATAGCCCTGCCCCAAACTTCCGCCGGTTGAGCCACTGTTGCTTACTACATATAGAGTGTAACATTCGGGTTCCGGAAGTAAAAATCCTCTTCTCCAAAGGGGAATTGAGTTTTATGTTATATAAACCCATAAATAAAGACCTACTGTGAGCTACGAGATTGTTATGCTTTTGTTGAAGCCATCAGCCCACATTATTTCAACTTATTTTTGAAATAATCATTGTAACTACATTACCCATGATTTTGCAAACAAATCTCCACCCATAAGAACATGAGAACGTAATAACATATTGTTTCTTTATAAAACTTAATATTAACATATTGTGATTGTAAATAAACATATTGTTACTATATTAAGCATATTAAAATCAATAGTTTTTTATTTCTGCATAATTTTTAATTTAATCATGTTATTCGCAGTGGTTCATGGGATTGTAATTCTTTCCCCCAATAAAGCCGTTAAATACACAGCTTTGTACCTTTGTCTTTTTGTCAGAAATTAAAGTTTGTATAGTTTATAGCTTGTTGATTTGATTTGTGGCTTATAAGTCTTGAACTATCGGAAAAATACTTTTGGAACAAATGCCACTGAAAAAGTGGCTGGGCACTGTTGTTCTCTACTAAGCTTGAAGAAATCAAAGGGGTCATATGATGCGATTTCAAGTTTTCCTTTCTCTTTGGAGTGTTACAAGCTGTTCATGAATAGATAAGATCTCTAAAGTATAGAGATATTCTTTATAAAAGTTAAGACTGGTCCTCACCCTCCTAAAACACCTCTTTCAAACACGCCCCCACATGTCTACGTCACGATGTGGGAAGATTTGCGCAAGATCACGCAAAGAAAGAAGGCCAGTGTTGCCAAGTCCCCGGTTTTCCCGTGGAATTGGGCTACTTTAACACTGTTGCCGCAGGTTGTGTTTCATGTCCGCGGGTTGAAGCGACTCCAATAACATGATATTTATCCCCTGGAATGCGAATTTTAGCAGGGGAACCCCGCCAAAAAACATGTATTTTACTCACCGGAATGCGATTTTTACCCCCTCGAAACGCGATTGGGCTAGTTTTGAGTAGCTATTGGGCAGGTTTTCTTGTGAAAATCTGGCAACCCTGAAGAAGGCGTAACTTTATTGTTGCTGCCACTGCCGCCGCCATGTTGTGAAGACGCTGTGTGTTTCGTTACGAAAGCAAAAATACTTTGTTTGGCCTTCAAAAAGAGGACACGACTAGAAATCAGTGGTTAAGTTGTATTTACAACACTGTTCCAGAACAGTTCGACCTAAATATTCAGATGTGTGCAGCGCATTTTATGGAGGACTGTTTCCTGATCCTGTGAGAGTAGAATGCCGGCTGTTCTGACTCACAGACTGTAAGTATGTTTTCATATTAAAAGAATTTGCCACTGACGATTCAAACGGGAGTTTTGAGCAGTGTAGAGTAGCACTTGTTGTTTGTCATTTCTCTGATCACAAATGCAGACATGGTTTTATGTTTACGCGGCGCGATGCAACGCAACGCGTGAAAAGACAGTATAAGTCATTATAATCCGTAATTATGTCCCCACTGGATGCCACAAATCCCTCATTTATAATGGGTTTTAATGTTTTTGTCTGGTCACTCCGGGACACGGCATCACAGTATGGTAAGGGGAAGGGTTGCCAGGTTTTCACAAGAAAACCCTCCCAATCGCTACTCAAAACTAGCCCAAAACTAGCCCAATCGAGTTTCGAGGGGGTAAAAATCACGTTCAATACACGTTTTTTGGCGGGGTTCCCCTGCTAAAATTCGCATTCCAGGGGATGAATATCATGTTATTGGAGTTGCTTCAACCCGCAGACATGAAACACAACCCGCGGCAACAGTGTTAAAGTAGCCCAACTTGGCAACACTGGTAAGGGGCTTAACATATCCGTCACACGCTTGAGGTATTCAGCCAATCACAACGTACTGGATAGCTGGCCAATCAGAGCACACCTCACTTTTCAGACCGATGTCGATTGTAAAAATCGACTCATTTCAGAAAGGCGGGGCATAGAGGAGAAACAATAATGTACAGTATGTGGAAAATAATGTTTTTTGAACCTCAAACTGCATAAACACATTTCATTACACCAAAATAATGTTCTTTTTAGCAACATCATATGACCCCTTTAAGCTTTTTAAGCTTTTAAGAAATACTGATGATGATGTGTTGTGATGATGGTCATATAATATTAGATGATGATATGTTGGGGCAATATTTTTGTGCGCTATAGTGATACTTTTCTGTTCTGACTCATTCTTGCATCTTTTCAGAGAGGGGGAACACATTGATGTGGCACAACATTTTTCACATACTTCACGCTTAGTGTACAGCTCTCTTCTCAAAAAAGTGCATATCGAAAGAATTAAGAGTTGTGTTTGCATGAGTGGCTGATTCAATTTGCATAAACTAAAGATAGAAAATATATTCAAGAGGTTTCACCACTCTGTCCATTCGATGTTTACTGATATGGACACCTTATTTCTCAGTACACCACACAGTATCTACTATGCTAAGACAGCAAAAACTGACTTAAATAATGCAGGTATCAGGAAATCAATAACAAGGTTGTCCAGCTCCAGGGATTGTTGCAGTTAAGCAATGCAGCACTGAATTTTGAGTCACTGGTCTTTGATTTGTTTTGACAAGGTTATATCATATCAGGAGCACATATTCATAGAGTAAAAGTTTTTAGCGTTTTTTTATTTTAATTCAGGTCTTAAATAGATTTAGCAGTACTGTATTTCATCAAGGTCTACAAAAGTGGTTGGTATATATTCGTGAAGTAGACCTATTAAGTTAAATATGTAACGAAAATGTCATTTTTTATTTGTCTACATTTCAGAAGTGATCTGTAGCATATGTATAGCCACTTGACTTGTGACTTAAACATTTGCTGCAGAAAAATATAAATTTATTGCGCTGTTGTAGCTGACAAAGCCAAATTCAGTCAATATGCAATTCCACCTCGTTTATACATACAACTGCAAAGATAAATGACTGCTGATGACACTAATAAGCTTGTAAACTTTACAAAAAAGGTTGTTATTATTATAATTAGTCAGAGTGCTGAAATATTTCAAGTGTTATGAGCACCAAGTGTATTCAAGAGGTTTCACCACTCTATCCATCTTAAAGCAACTGCCTCTTTTATAAGGACACATGAGGGAATATCAAGGATATATTAAAAGTTTTACCCAGGAGGCGAATAGATGGTTTTTAGCAGTTGGAGCCTGTCTTTTTTTTCTAAATAGTTGCTTCTCAGAGATGCATTGCTCTCCTCTAACTGTCTCCTTCTTTTTTGTCTTTGATTCATCCTTCTCACATTTCACCAGGAAGTGGAGGTCAGTAGTGCTGTATCATGACTTTGCTTGTGTTTGATGTCTCTTTTAAAATGCTTAATCTAATATTCGCTATCAAAGCGGTAACCCACTTTTTATGTAGTCTATGTTGCTTATGTATCTTTGTTTAACATTTCATTTAAGCGTTCATCTTTTTTTTGCCTTGTTTATCTTTCAAAAATTTTCTTCTTAAGTTCCATCCCTCCTTTTTCCATTAGTGCTTTTCCACAGCTTTTCACAATTAAAATATCTTAGTATTGTACTTTTAGGTTTGGTTAATGATAGATGCACAGGGATAGAAGTATTATTCTTGACTAAATGCTAAAAGTGTATTCTGTGCAGCACATTTGACTGTTTTTACTTCTTTGTTTTTGTCAGGACGACTACATCAGATCATGGGATGAAAGTCAAGGCTCGAATGAAAGTAAGTCATCTTTAATATTACTAATAGTATCACATTATAACATTTATTGAAGTGATCTTTTAGCCATTATATTTAAGTGCCCATATCGCATGATGTGCCAAACAATGACCTAGTTTATTTTCAAATGGAGCTAGATTTTACATTAGGTTAAATATTCAGACTAGATTTTCAGAACTAGTGCCAATTTTAAGTTTTGTTTCTGTGTAAATTAAGTTTGCTGTTGTCATGATACTCGACATGCATTTTATTTTCTGTCTGTTGCACACAAGAATCAACAGTGTAATATATTCAGAGTGTAATCACAATTCAGTATGCAGTATTTAGTAATAAAGAGTACTAAGTATGCAAATATTGCAATGATTTGAATAGATTTAAACATTTTCAGCAAGTCAGTGGGAGATTTTTTCAAACTTTATTAGTTAATATAATTAATAAAACAAATAATCATTTAAAGTTTGAAACCAGACATTTAATCTGAACTAATTACTGAAATAATTCGGTCAAAAATGTAAAATGTAGTGTTTTAAAACAAACTCCTAACAGTGGCATGCAAGCACTGTAATTATTATTCAATGGTGCAGTTAGGCTTGACCGTGGTCTGTGTATCTTTGTCACAGCAGACAGCCCTTCTTTTCTTCTTGGCTGCCAAACACTAATTGCTTACACAACCAGAAGGAGGGCGGTCTTAAGCGACAGGGGCTGCAAGTCTGGAGTGGCTCAAAGGGAGGGCCTCACAGGGACCTGAGATAAGTCCCAAGTCGGCACAGTATGAGGCAAATTCAATCTCCAGGCTCCCCTCAGAAACTTAACGATTAGGTCGTTTTTGCTCACTGATTGGCCAGCCATGATAGAATGATTTGCCGTGATGGCCGCCACATATACTTTGAGCATGGGGTGCACCCCTTATCCAGCAGCTCTTGCAGAAAGGTTAGCACGTAGGACACGTCACACAATGACGGGTTCTCGCTCTGTGCTGCACACCAGTCAGAAATCAATAGTAAAATAGTATTTTATTCACTTAAACATCGGAAGAAGTTATTATTTTCTCTTTAATCCATGATGCCAATGTATTTTTCGATGAGACTGCTATGTTAACAAAAATAACGTTACCTGCTTGATGGAAAGGGTTGCCAGGTTTTCACAACAAAACCTGCCCAATTGCTACTCAAAACTAGCCCAAAACTAGCCCAAACTAACCGCGTTTCGAGGGGGGTGCCCCGGTAAAAATCGTGTTACGGGGGATAAAATACACATTATTGGGGTTGCTTCAACCCGCGGACATGAAAAACAACCCACGGCAACAGTGATAAAGTAGCCCAATTCCACGGAAAAACCGCGGACTTGGCAACACTGTGACGGATAGTAATGTCTACAACGGACACAGCTTGCAGCGTGACCACAACAGCTTGAAGTTGCCAACCGGGGGGAAGGCATACAGGCAAGTGCTGAGCCAATCGTGGGCCAGAGCATCTCGCTGTTTCAAAAAGTAGATTGGGCTGTGAAAGTTGTCTTCTGAGGCGAAGAGGTCCACTTCTGCCCTCCCGAAGACAGTCCAAATCATTTGAACCAATTGGGGATGTAGTCTCCATTCTCCTGGAGCTACCTTTTCCCTGGACAACATGTCTGCCACTTGGTTCAGTCTGCCTGGCACATAAACTGCTCTCTGTCCTCGTACAGAGCTCCCCAACCCAAGTTGGAGGCATCTGTTGTGACCCCTTTACTTTTGGCGGTCAGTCCCAATAGAACGCCTGATTGAAACAGACGAGGGGTTTTCCAAGGGGCCACAGCTCTAATGCAGCGGTGGGTTAACCTGAGATAAGAGCGTTCCAGGCACCAAGCGTGGGACAGGACATGGACTTTGAGCCAGTAATGGAAGGGCCGCATGTGAAGCAGACCCAGAGGAATCACAGAGGAAGCAGCCGACATAAGGCAGAGCATCCTCTGGAAAGCCCTGAGGGGACGTGAAGTCCCCAATTTGAGTGACGCTGCTGGCCGTTGAACAGTCAGGGAGCGTTCCGGCGTAATCCATGCCTGCATTCGGCCAGAATCGATAATTGCCCCCATAAAGACCACTCGCTGGCTCGGAGAAAAAGAGCTCTTGGCTAAATTGATTCTCAACCCAAGGTGCTCCAGGTGGCTGAGCAGCAGCAACCTGTAAGCGATGAGTTCCCATTCTGACCTGGCTAAAACCAGCCAATCGTCGAGGTAGTGCAGAATGCAGATTCCCATCTGTCTCAGAGGGGAAAGAGCCGTGCCTATGCGCTTCGTAAAAGTGCGTGGGGCCAGAGACAATCCGAATGGCAGGACTGTGTATTGAAAGTGAAAGTGAAGTGACATGTGGCCAAGTAGGGTGACCCAACCTAAAGCCCAGGCTCAGGTTTAGGCTGGGGCTGAGGCGGCGCTGGCTTGGCAGGCTGCTGGGAGGATAGAGCCTTCTGGCGACTTGAAACAGCCGCCGCACAGGAGGAAGTGACGTATTGCCTGCGATGAATTCTGTGCTGCTGTAAACCGCTCTGCAGGTAAACCGTGGGCACTGTCCAGACAGGCGACAAACTCACTGTGCCCATCTGATGATCTTCGTCACTGAAGGAGAAAAATTCTGATGAAATGGCGCTCAGATGTATATAGCAATCACTTCCTCTCCTTTTTGCAGGTTGAAGCGCTATTGGTTCGTGCAGCTACACGAACATGAACAAATGAGGCTTCAGTAACAGAGTAAACAGGAGTTTTCCCGAAATCATCAACGAAGCAATGGGAAAGACCGTTCGAAAGGGAACCTATTTACTTACCAAACTGAATGCATTTTGTCTCCTTTATGAGATAATTAATGAAGCAGTGATAAAGGAGATTTGTACCAGCCCTTGACACCCCAAGAAGCATGATGTTTCCACTTAAAAGCAGAACTTGGAACAGTTTACTGATCTTGTAGTGTCACTTGAATCACTTGTATTTCATAAAGAGCTGCAATTTCTAAAGAAGTTCTGAAGGAATTTTAAAAGTAAAAGGAAATCCATTTAAAATATAATAAAAAGTTTGTTCTGGCCAAGTTTTAAGAATGTTAAAATGCACCTTTGTTGTGGCATAACAGGAATTAGATTAGATAAATCTGCAGTGTAGAAGAAATGTTAAGTAATATCAGTTATTTACTTTATGTTGGTGTCTAGTTGGCCTTGTAAGATTTTATTTAGTCTGATATTTCAAGAGCATCTGCTCTATATACAATAACTTTTTTACATTTGAATCTATTTTATATATATGTGCTAAAATGTAATTTATTTCTGTGATGGCAAAGATTCATTTTCAGCAGCCATTTCTCCAGTCTTGTCCAGTCGTGTTACATGATCCTTAAAAAAATCATTCTAAAATGCTGATTTAGTGCTCATGAAACATCTCTTATTATTATCAATGTTGAAATAGCTGTGCTGCTTAATATTTTTATGGAAACTGCAATCATTTTTTTCAGGATTCTTTGATGAATAGAAAGTTCAATAGAACAGAATATTTTATAAAATCTTTACTGGCACTTTTGATCAATTTAATGCATTGTCGCAAAATAAAACATCATTCCAAACAAATAAACAAACAAATAAATAGCCTTCATATTTAGGCCAACTCTAAACCTTTGAATGGTAGATTGTGTATTCCTTGTTTTAATCCAGATTTATACCCCTAAGGCGAAACTTCCTCGACAGCACATATTCCTGCATATCTATGGCTAATCGTCTGTGTCAGATATATGATGTTAATCTCGTATGAGCTGCACACATCCCATAAGCTGAATGTGTATTAATAGGTCAACAAAGTGTTGCTGGTACGTGGACAGTTTTATCACAACCAGATGTTTTTTTTTCACATTCCCAGTGTGTGTACCTGTGAAAAGAACATCTCAGCAGTCTGTTGAGTCAGCCTGTACCTGAATTAATAGACCATCAACAGGATACAAAGCTTCAGTTCATTAAAAACAAATGGAGACATCTTTATTTAATCAGCGTGCATCTTTTATTTATCAGCATGATTGTATTTTCTCTTTCCTGTGTATACAGCATGTATCGCGTCCTTATCTCCGTGAACCTTTCCCTGCGAGTTGATCTGATATGCTCAGCGTTAAGTGGCTCTGGCTGCTGATATGTATTAGCTGCATTAGCTCAGCCACTGGCTGTGTTTGATTGAGTCAGTAGCTCCTTACTTCTACTCTGCGATTGTAATGATCACATTAAATGCTGCCCAGTGTGTAAACAAAGGATGAAAGAGATGATGTGACGTGGCTGGACAAGATTCCTCGGCTGTCTTAAGCCGGATTTGGCATCGCTTACACATGGAGACCTTCATAATGCATTATATAGGGACAACTCACTGCAGGGCCGCTGCTCTGAAGATATGTTTACTGTTATATTGTGCGATGATTATGAATAGACTCAGAGAGAGAGAGAGTTCATTGTTTTTATTTGTTTTTTTTACTTGTATGAGCAGCTAATCAGTCCTCACTCTGGAGTTGGACTGTTGCTATAGCAACACCATTATTCTTGTGTTCTCTTTAATCTGCTTGAGAGTGTTGTGATGAAGTGAGGCTTACTGATCAACCTTGTGCCGTTGTGTATAGATTGCAATAATCTGTCAGTCTTGAAATATTGTTTTTCATGCAGTGAGTTTGTTTGTAATATTATATGTAGTATGGTGAGATAAGATATAAGGTGTAGTTATGATGATTTACTGAAGAACATAAAATAACATTCCTTGTTTCTAAACTTCTCTAAGGCTGAAGCTGTAGCATAGAGAGCATTGCGGATAGACAGGCGCTAAATTTTACACTTTGCATTAACCTCCATTATGAATTAAAGGGTGCTTGTCATGCTTCTTTTGTTGTAAATAGGAGTTCCTTAAAGATTCATGATTCATGATTGCCAAATTAAATGAATAAAATAAAATAAAAAATAAAAAAATAAATATGTTTTAAAAAATCAATGTCATAATTTTTCTGCTGCTTATTTATGTTCAGAGTTATTATTGTTACCTAAAACTAAAACCATAAATAGATTGTTACTTTAAATAATAATAATAATAATATATTAAAAAAACTATTTTATTTCAGCTAGTTGCAAAGGCAACATTTTATTTTCATTGCATCTACTAATTGTACTAATATAACCAAAACTGAAAAAAATTCTCAAATATACAACAAAATTACTAAAATGAAAATGAAAACAGAAAATAAAAGTATTAACAAAAACTATATGTATCCAGTTGCTAAAAAACACTGATTCAGGATGTGGTGGCAGAATTTAATAAAATGTCTAAAATATAAACCAATAATAATTAAATATTAATAATTGAAATATTAAATGTATTATTGGAATTAAATACATTATTCATAATATTTACTGAAAGGTTGTAATATTGAAACCTCAGGGAGCATCTTAAATGAAAAAACAAAACAAAACTTAATGCATAGCAGATTATTGGAATACACCTCTCTTTATTGCAGATGTGGACACCACTAAAGATCCCTGCCAGAAAGTCAAATGCAGCCGAAATAAGGTGTGTGTCGCCCAGGGCTACCAACGTGCTGTGTGCGTCAACCGCAAAAAGCTGGAGCACAGGTGAGTCCTTCAGCTACAAGACTCTGTCTTCATGCACATAACAATAATACATGACAGGACAGTGTTTGTTTTTTGAGGGTATGAATAAAAGAAGCTTGGTGCCATTCTAAGGCACTGTGCAGAATGTAACTGTCCAATCTAGCTTTTCATTATTTATATCATGATGAATCACATTTCTGAGACTTTAAGTTCCAGATGATTGGCTGAGTGCTTATGAGCAAAGATGGCTGTTTAGAAAGCAGTCTTAAAGACACAGCAGCAAAACGATAGGGTTGAAAATGGTCATAAAAATTATGGTCCTAAAATTATGATAGTTCTGTCATGACAACTCTTAGATTAGCATGATTAAGATTAGCATGTTAATATACATGGCAGTGTTAATGTGTTTGGTCTTGGGGGAATAGATCTGGTACACTGCTGCTGTAGCAGCAGAGCAAGTACTTCTGCCAATACATCCACGACATACTGCTGTGAGCATGTAAGAAATACTGCTGCTGCGCATATAACATATATAAAATAACCCGCATATATAGCATACATGAAATTACCCCGTAGCAGATCTATACAGGTGGAGCTGGGGAAGGTGGAGGGTTTTGAACCGCACTGCAAACTTCTATGGCGAACACTGGCCAAATATTTGAATGTCGAGCAGCAAACTCATTGGCTGCTGATGCAACAAAAACCATGTGAATAATGATGTGATTATATCAGATTGAGTTAGGACCTATTGGCCTGCGCCATCTTGCGTTTCATGAAAGTTCACGGGCAGAACTTTGTATTTTGGTGCAAAAAACCTTGACTAACATTTTAACTGGACCCTAGAGAAAATTTAATAATTTAAATAGTTATGATCCCTCTTTTTCCACAAGTGTTAGAGAATGTTCACTCACTTGTGAAGAGAAAGCCATATTTTTATAGAGGTGAAATAAGAGCAATTTATTAAAGCAGGCATGTGTTGTCTGGTGGCACATTGTGAGGTACACAGATTTAGTCCCTGAACGTTTGTTCTATTTACAAATTGAACTTGTTCCTGAGGCCATCCCTTAGGGGCTGGTTCTCATTGTAGCACACAACTAACTACAGAGAGCATTCTTGTAACTTTAAATAAAAAAATGGACCAATGATGCACTGTTCCTGTTCATTTGAGTAACCAAGCATGCCTCAGTTTATATCTTAAATTGAATATTGATTTTATTTTGATGCCATGTTAATATTGGCTATTTTAGGTTGAAGCAGCAGGTCATTAGACAGCAGCAGGAGAGTAACTGTAAGCCTTGCCCAGTATCTTCCTCTGGTCCCGTTTGTGGCTCTGATGGACACAACTATGCCTCTCAGGTACTTCACACTGCATTCAACTTCCTTTAATTGTATTAAAATAAGCTGAACTGCAGAGAAATTTATCATATGGATATGATCAATTTCTCTGCAGTTCAGCTTATTTTAATACAATTAAAGGAAGTTGAATGCAGTGTGAAGTACCTGAGAGGCATAGTTGTGTCCATCAGAGCCACAAACGGGACCAGAGGAAGATACTGGGCAAGGCTTACAGTTACTCTCCTGCTGCTGTCTAATGACCTGCTGCTTCAACCTAAAATAGCCAATATTAACATGGCATCAAAATAAAATCAATATTCAATTTAAGATATAAACTGAGGCATGCTTGGTTACTCAAATGAACAGGAACAGTGCATCATTGGTCCATTTTTTTATTTAAAGTTACAAGAATGCTCTCTGTAGTTAGTTGTGTGCTACAATGAGAACCAGCCCCTAAGGGATGGCCTCAGGAACAAGTTCAATTTGTAAATAGAACAAACGTTCAGGGACTAAATCTGTGTACCTCACAATGTGCCACCAGACAACACATGCCTGCTTTAATAAATTGCTCTTATTTCACCTCTATAAAAATATGGCTTTCTCTTCACAAGTGAGTGAACATTCTCTAACACTTGTGGAAAAAGAGGGATCATAACTATTTAAATTATTAAATTTTCTCTAGGGTCCAGTTAAAATGTTAGTCAAGGTTTTTTGCACCAAAATACAAAGTTCTGCCCGTGAACTTTCATGAAACGCAAGATGGCGCAGGCCAATAGGTCCTAACTCAATCTGATATAATCACATCATTATTCACATGGTTTTTGTTGCATCAGCAGCCAATGAGTTTGCTGCTCGACATTCAAATATTTGGCCAGTGTTCGCCATAGAAGTTTGCAGTGCGGTTCAAAACCCTCCACCTTCCCCAGCTCCACCTGTATAGATCTGCTACGGGGTAATTTCATGTATGCTATATATGCGGGTTATTTTATATATGTTATATGCGCAGCAGCAGTATTTCTTACATGCTCACAGCAGTATGTCGTGGATGTATTGGCAGAAGTACTTGCTCTGCTGCTACAGCAGCAGTGTACCAGATCTATTCCCCCAAGACCAAACACATTAACACTGCCATGTATATTAACATGCTAATCTTAATCATGCTAATCTAAGAGTTGTCATGACAGAACTATCATAATTTTAGGACCATAATTTTTATGACCATTTTCAACCCTATCGTTTTGCTGCTGTGTCTTTAAGACTGCTTTCTAAACAGCCATCTTTGCTCATAAGCACTCAGCCAATCATCTGGAACTTAAAGTCTCAGAAATGTGATTCATCATGATATAAATAATGAAAAGCTAGATTGGACAGTTACATTCTGCACAGTGCCTTAGAATGGCACCAAGCTTCTTTTATTCATACCCTCAAAAAACAAACACTGTCCTGTCATGTATTATTGTTATGTGCATGAAGACAGAGTCTTGTAGCTGAAGGACTCACCTGTGCTCCAGCTTTTTGCGGTTGACGCACACAGCACGTTGGTAGCCCTGGGCGACACACACCTTATTTCGGCTGCATTTGACTTTCTGGCAGGGATCTTTAGTGGTGTCCACATCTGCAATAAAGAGAGGTGTATTCCAATAATCTGCTATGCATTAAGTTTTGTTTTGTTTTTTCATTTAAGATGCTCCCTGAGGTTTCAATATCACAACCTTTCAGTAAATATTATGAATAATGTATTTAATTCCAATAATACATTTAATATTTCAATTATTAATATTTAATTATTATTGGTTTATATTTTAGACATTTTATTAAATTCTGCCACCACATCCTGAATCAGTGTTTTTTTAGCAACTGGATACATATAGTTTTTGTTAATACTTTTATTTTCTGTTTTCATTTTCATTTTAGTAATTTTGTTGTATATTTGAGAATTTTTTTCAGTTTTGGTTATATTAGTACAATTAGTAGATGCAATGAAAATAAAATGTTGCCTTTGCAACTAGCTGAAATAAAATAGTTTTTTTAATATATTATTATTATTATTATTTAAAGTAACAATCTATTTATGGTTTTAGTTTTAGGTAACAATAATAACTCTGAACATAAATAAGCAGCAGAAAAATTATGACATTGATTTTTTAAAACATATTTATTTTTTTATTTTTTATTTTATTTTATTCATTTAATTTGGCAATCATGAATCATGAATCTTTAAGGAACTCCTATTTACAACAAAAGAAGCATGACAAGCACCCTTTAATTCATAATGGAGGTTAATGCAAAGTGTAAAATTTAGCGCCTGTCTATCCGCAATGCTCTCTATGCTACAGCTTCAGCCTTAGAGAAGTTTAGAAACAAGGAATGTTATTTTATGTTCTTCAGTAAATCATCATAACTACACCTTATATCTTATCTCACCATACTACATATAATATTACAAACAAACTCACTGCATGAAAAACAATATTTCAAGACTGACAGATTATTGCAATCTATACACAACGGCACAAGGTTGATCAGTAAGCCTCACTTCATCACAACACTCTCAAGCAGATTAAAGAGAACACAAGAATAATGGTGTTGCTATAGCAACAGTCCAACTCCAGAGTGAGGACTGATTAGCTGCTCATACAAGTAAAAAAAACAAATAAAAACAATGAACTCTCTCTCTCTCTGAGTCTATTCATAATCATCGCACAATATAACAGTAAACATATCTTCAGAGCAGCGGCCCTGCAGTGAGTTGTCCCTATATAATGCATTATGAAGGTCTCCATGTGTAAGCGATGCCAAATCCGGCTTAAGACAGCCGAGGAATCTTGTCCAGCCACGTCACATCATCTCTTTCATCCTTTGTTTACACACTGGGCAGCATTTAATGTGATCATTACAATCGCAGAGTAGAAGTAAGGAGCTACTGACTCAATCAAACACAGCCAGTGGCTGAGCTAATGCAGCTAATACATATCAGCAGCCAGAGCCACTTAACGCTGAGCATATCAGATCAACTCGCAGGGAAAGGTTCACAGAGATAAGGACGTGATACATGCTGTGTACACAGGAAAGAGAAAATACAATCATGCTGATAAATAAAAGATGCACGCTGATTAAATAAAGATGTCTCCATTTGTTTTTAATGAACTGAAGCTTTGTATCCTGTTGATGGTCTATTAATTCAGGTACAGGCTGACTCAACAGACTGCTGAGATGTTCTTTTCACAGGTACACACACTGGGAATGTGAAAAAAAACATCTGGTTGTGATAAAACTGTCCACGTACCAGCAACACTTTGTTGACCTATTAATACACATTCAGCTTATGGGATGTGTGCAGCTCATACGAGATTAACATCATATATCTGACACAGACGATTAGCCATAGATATGCAGGAATATGTGCTGTCGAGGAAGTTTCGCCTTAGGGGTATAAATCTGGATTAAAACAAGGAATACACAATCTACCATTCAAAGGTTTAGAGTTGGCCTAAATATGAAGGCTATTTATTTGTTTGTTTATTTGTTTGGAATGATGTTTTATTTTGCGACAATGCATTAAATTGATCAAAAGTGCCAGTAAAGATTTTATAAAATATTCTGTTCTATTGAACTTTCTATTCATCAAAGAATCCTGAAAAAAATGATTGCAGTTTCCATAAAAATATTAAGCAGCACAGCTATTTCAACATTGATAATAATAAGAGATGTTTCATGAGCACTAAATCAGCATTTTAGAATGATTTTTTTAAGGATCATGTAACACGACTGGACAAGACTGGAGAAATGGCTGCTGAAAATGAATCTTTGCCATCACAGAAATAAATTACATTTTAGCACATATATATATATAATAGATTCAAATGTAAAAAAGTTATTGTATATGAATAAGTTACTGTTTTTACTGTATTTTTATCAAATAAATGCAGCCTTGGTGAGCATAAGAGACTCTCTCGCTCTC